TCGAAATTAGAGAAATACGTTATTTTTAACAATGGCACAATTAATCCGGCATAAGAAAAAAAAATTTAATATATCTCATTTGCATAAAAAATAAATTAAGATGCATTTAGTAAATATATATACTATATAAATAAAAAAATTGACAAATAAATTTATGTAAATAGTTGTAGGTACAATCATTATATCAAGTAAACAATTATTTTTTATTAATATTGTAGATGCAGCACGTTCTATATCATATTTTCTATATGAAAAGAGATTTTCTATATGAAAAGAAATATATTTTAGTATACAGTTTTTTTAAAAACCTATATACTAAATCTATATATCTGTTACGAATTGGTGTGCCAATTCGAAGATGAAAGAAATATTTATCATTAGAACGTTGTTGTATGAATATGTGTGTCTGTATAATTGTTTTATTATTTTATCGGCATTGCGAAAAGTTAAATAGGTCTCGGTTATTCGAGGCATGATAGCTAGCTATCCAAAGATATCAAATAGAAAACGACGGAACGCGAGAGATGTGGATGTTATTTCCAGCGTCGCGACTCTTGTACGATTTCATGAAAATTTTACGATGATTAACGAATCAGATGATGGTTTTGGATCTATTTCTAGCTGTCTTACGTGTGCATGTGTTTGTCTCTAGTTTAAGTTTCACTACTCTAAAGCTAATATTATATACATAATAACATTAGCGGAATTTATAATAGCAACAGAGAATGTATTGCATTTAATGCACATTTTATATTTTTTTAGTCGTTTTGTATTAAGTTTATAAAGGACCAATATCGATACATATCAATCACTGTAAATAGATAGTGCTGCTAACAACATTTTTTCTTGTTTTGTACATATTGCTTATTTAAGTTAAGTTCTTTCTTTTATTTGTTTTTATTACGTTTGCGAGTTATAGCGTCACGATTTTTTACATATTTTAGGCTTGGGACAATCGTGTAACGTTTTCATAGGTCTTTTTTGCGCTTTATCTATCAGTATTAGATTATATTTCGCCTATACTTATATTATTAGTCATAAAAAATGATTTACATGATTTTTACTTCAATGTTAAAAATCTTTCTTTAATAATAACGTGTGCATTATCTTCCTTTTGGAATATGTGTATGAATACAACAAGTTAAAAGAAATTGTCAGTTTCCTCCTAGCGTTTTTTATTTTACTCGATAAATAATTACATATGTGAACGTTCAATATATTTTTACATATAATTACAACTTATCTTTTAACGCATATTTCACTGTACTGTACAGAAATTTATTTTACACATCGTATAATTGAAATAACATATTTTGTACATTGTACATTGTACAATACTTTAAATTTTAGTTATATGTACTGTAATCGTCATTATGAGAGCTTTTAGAAGGCAAGTTTATAAGCGATCTATAAATGATTACTTTAAATTCTATATGAGCGTTTAGTCATCCTTGATCGAAAAACAAGCTAAAATTTCTTCTAATCAAGATTGGCTAATAATTACTACATTTCGTAGAGCGATTTCTTTCAAATAAGAAAAAATATATCTCTTTTAAAGTCGAAACGACCTCTCTTCACTTAGCAATCTCGAATTTTTCGAGAATGACTTTTTCGACACCGTTTCCACTTCAGGCTCCAAAATCTTCGTCGCATTTTTCTTCCCTCGATCCTGATCCGCCTCTTCTTCTTCTTCCACTTCCTTTCCGATGTCCTCGTTTAAAGCATAATATTTTTCCGATTCCTCGCATGGTATCGAGCTTTCCGTTTGTGTACATACGAATGTTGCCTATAAATGAATCAGAATATTATACTGTCTCTACTTAAAACAACAAATAAATTGTTACTGTATTTGATATCAGTATGAAAATATTTCTTAATTTTTTCTTGCTTTGAAAATATATCGAAACGCAAAATCAAACTTTGTTCCGCAATAAAATGATATCGTGGCCTATAACCATTGATGGTATTGGTTTAAAAATGACAATTACTGTACTTCTATATATACATTGTCACAAATAATTATCATCCTATTGTAATTCGATAGTTTATTTAGGGGTGATAATTATTTGCGAGCACTAAGGAAGACTTTGGATGCCTTTCAACAAGAGACACACGGTGCATCCATTGCATTCTTAATGTCCGTCAATAAATTAATTAAGTAGGGATGAAATGATCACTGTGTTGTACTGAATCGCTTGTTGGAAGACACCCTTTGTAAGTTGAAACGTTTGCGACAATTCTATTAGTTTACTTGGTTGAAAACTGTCTCGCCGGGGCAAATGAAGCTCCATCTAATTGATCCCCTCGTTTGCGGCATACACACGTGAAACACTTGGCACTCGTTCTCCATGTCGGCATAATAACCGTAAATTCTGTCCTGGCACGAAAAGGTGTCGACGATGTTCTCGCGAATGAGCGTTGCGTTGTCGGGAAGCAGCAAGCCACCAGTTTTAGATTGCTAGAAAAGTTGATTGCAAAGTTCAATTATCGTAAATCGCGTATGCGATAATCCGTGAAGAATTTGTTGGCGAAGAGGAAAATACAAAAATATCGATATTTCTAAAAACCTTAAATACTGGAGTGGGCCTCTTAGATTTCGGCTGCTGAGGCAAACTAAGAGCTATCGCGAGAAGACCGAGAAGCAACACGGCAAAGAGCTTTTCCCGTGTCATGATTTCAATGAGATGATTGTATTATCCCGGAATACGCGTATTTTCTTGTGTTATCTCTTCAAGTGCTGGTGATCCCTTGTCCACCACCACTGGTTCCCCGACAAATACGATGTTTTATTGTAGTTCTGCGTTCGGGAATCTTGAGAAGACTGATGATGTGATTCGCAGAAGGGTGTTATATAGTGAACTGTGCTTAAAGATCTTGAATATTGTATGAATGGTCGATTCTTGGTACATTGAAATCAGTAAATCCATCACGTTTGGTCTGCCAATGACCATCGTCAGACGTCCACATCATCCTCGAAGGCCCGATGCAAATGCCGCAAATGCTTTCGGCTTGATGATGTGCTCATTTGGTAATTTTTATTTATATTATTCTTAACAGCGAAAAGAGAAGTGGCGTGGTCAACGATTTTTTTTTTTGCATAGAAAATCACGTACATGATATTTAAAAGAATTTTTTTTAATTTATTAGTTTTTTTCGCTCATTTTCAATCTGCTGTCAACTTAACTGAGTGCAATATTAAATTTTTGAATAAGATTTGCCAATGCAAAGTGATTACAAATAATTTCGTGCAATTGTTTTTGAAATTTTTTAAAATAATTGTGCATTAAGTATATTAAAAAATAATTATGTTTAATTGTGAAACACGATGATATATTTGCAAAACATTAACGACAATTGATAGTTTATCAAGACATTAGCAGTCAGAGCGGTCCTTCTATTGAGAAAGGATTATTTTAAAAAATCTTCAAGTATGTTGAATCGTCTATGAGGATCCTAAAGAAACAGATGGCACTTCGAAGGCCGGATATAAATTACATGCGAACACACGTGCCGAAATTCTTATGTGGCGATTCAAATTTCTGTCAAACTCTTCGATCTCATGGATTTATTTTTTATACGTAGTCACCTATTTTACCCCCAAACATGACACATTAGTCCCATTCCGCGATTGGCTGCGTTCCAATTCCCGTTCGAAGACGGGACGTATTTCTCATGAATTTGGCCGTCGAAATTCGAGGGCAGTCGTAACCGAGCCTTATCTTCGTTAAGGCCGCGTCGCGAACGGCATTTCTTCGGGATATGAATACTTAATAGTATCGATGAGAAAATGTATCCCATTATGAAATCACTGCTTTTGGTTATCGATAATGGGCATGAAAAGATACTCTTATGTACACGGAAAGAAAAATTTTTGCTAAAGTATCTAAAGATTTAGATCTTATTAGAAAATAATTTTATAGATTAATTTATTAAATTACCAAAATAATTATGTAGGAAATCATGTAGGATTCAAGCATGACAAGTAATACTGCAAAAAGTATTGACATTCTATAACAATCAGTTCGAGCGTCCTATATAATTATTTTGGTGATTCAAACAAAATTATTTTTAAATTTATATCTAACTAAATTAGATGTTTCAACAAAATTTTTCTATGTAATAATCTTTCCTAAAGAAAACGTAGTAGTTTCTCGGCAATAATAATTTCTACATGGAAAATATGTGATTTTATATTTGTAGATATTAATCTATCAAAAATAAAAAAGCAAAGTCAAATAAAGAAAATGTGTTATAAATTTTATTGTTACAGATATTTTCAATAACGTCAAATTCATAGGAAAAAACAATAGATTATTTTATGCATACATATCTATAGTTTCTGCTCCCCTTCATCCTTTTTTTTTTAATTAAATAAACTATTATATTTTTATTTCTGCAAACTTACATAAGTTACAGAAAGAGCGTTTCTTTATTTTTTTATTTTAAGGTTTCTAAAAAAAAAAATGTCGGACACACGTTTCTTTCGTTTAAGAAACTTCTTCCTGCGGTTCATGGACCATCGATGAGCCATAATCATTGCACAAATCTCGTGCGTTTATCATTGAAACGATCAGTAGCAAGGTGAACACCCTGAAAGTATCGCCGCTCCTTAAGGATTCCAGTCGCATTGTTCATTGTGCTATGACGAGGAATACAAAAATTTCAGGATGGTCCACCGGTGCGGCTGAAGAAGGTCGTGCGATTCGTGTATCAGAACCGCCAGAGTTTCTCTCTGCAGCAACGTGATGAGTTTTCGTTTTCTTTCGTCGATAAACATAGCATCTGCAATCATGTCTTAAAAGAATGCACGCCAGAGAAATCGTATACTCGTACAGTTTATTATCAAAATTTTTTAATATGTATATGTTTCTGTAAAATTGCCATTATAAATTACTATTGTCTTTCGCAAAGAATTTTTTTTTTTTTATAAATAGAATGTGTAATTTTTCTACTATTATTACATATGTATATATTATGAGATAAACATTCAGAGAGAGGCGTTAAAGATTTGTCGAGTCACGATACGAGTGATAGTATGTTCTTTTAATTAAAATAGTTGATCCTAAGAAAATCTCTTTGTGGCGAGACAGAACAGGTACTCGTAAGTAACTTTGGTATGACTTAAGGTGATTAAAGAGTACTATTTTTATATATGATAATTAGAGAGGTCAGAGAAATCTTAGATCATCCATCATTAATTAAAGTGAAATTCAAGATGATCGTGTAATATATGCCAACGTAGCATGCAGTAAATTAAATAAATAAATACTATACAATGTATAAATATCGACGTTATGTCGCAGATATTTCCTGACTTTTGGACTAAAGATTCACTATAAAATAAATAAAGAACGATGTGGTGAAACGATAATCATATTGCGATGAAATTTGCGTCGTCGTTCGGTTCTTCTTTGATCTTTCTCGCGCAAAACGATCGTCCCCTCGGTCAAATTTATGCGATTTTGGTATCAGTCCGTAGGTGCGTAAGAGCGGTACGCAAGTTCATGAGGCGTCTCATTCGACGATCTTCCCCAGTAACCGTGATCATCGTGATCGTAGTGATGCTGATGCTGTGCATGCTCGTAGTAGATAACTTTAGAAGGCTTTTTGATCTCTATCCAGAATCTGGCAGCGTTCAGTATCAACGAGATGATGGCGATGATGAAGAACTTGAACTGGAAGTGAGTGCTTATCAGCTGCAGCAACAGGCTGAGTTTCGCTTTTAGCAGCATCACTAATCCCAGAATTTTTTGCAGATGTTTCTTCTTGAATTTCTTCTTGCGCGCCTCTTCTAAAAAAATTATACATATTCTGTTACAATCGTACAATTTACTGCGACGCTGATCTATGCGCAAAAAGGAATTTTAGAACGCGAGAAAAGTAGATAATTACAAGTGAAAGCGAATATCGGAAGTGATGTCTTTATGAAAATTTACGGTATGGATCGATCTTAATCAAAGCACGCAATCTGGCAAACGTACTACGAAGATCTCCATGCAGGTTGACCTACAAACCTTAACCTGGAGTGTATTTCGTCTGGCTCATGCGCCACGTAATCGTCCGCAACCGGTACAACTTTCTTTTAAAAAGAGTCACGTGGATTGCTTTCGCGGCCGAATTTTTTCATAATATAAAAAAAAAATGTCTCTTCCGTGTTTTAATGGTCAGGCTAATCCGAATTGATTGATGGATTCTATAGCGAATCGCAAAATTTAATTGATACCTAGTTCCACTTTTCCTCATTGGCGAAATGTTAAATCGATATGAATCGTAGCGAATTAGCGTAATGCTTGTCGAATTATGTTCAATTTGCCGTTGGCAATTTACGTTAAAAGTACCGTACAATTTTTGGTACGCTCCAAAAGATAACAAAGATAATATTCCTGGTACCGTTATTGTTCATTAGTATGAATTCTGATTTTTGTTTCTCTTCTTCTGGTAGGTTCAACGATTAATATCTCATTAGAACAATCCTGATACAAACGCGACGTTCCGTTTGTTCTACGAATTATATGTTTGCGGACCAGCACTTATTTCCTCGTATGATTCGCGTTTGTTGATTTTAGTTGGAAAAGATAGCCAAGAAAATGGCGAGTGATGCAATCGGTACCGTTACCGTCGATTTGCCTAAGTCGTGACATTAAATTAGCGTAAACTGCTTGACAACGTCGGCGATACGCGCACACGAGCACAATTGCGTGCAAAACATTTAAACAGCTCGCTAGTGACCCAGACGGGAACTTCATGGATCCGATAACGCGTTAACTTGCGGTTCGCCTTGCGCGTTAACTATAATGTTTACGCTTGCATTGACGTTCGGTCGATGTTTAAACGTTATGCAAATAACGGTGGTAATGTCCATTTATTTTATGATCACGATGTACGCTTCCCGAATCCGCGAAACTTCCTCGCCTTGTCAATGTGATTTACTTCCTGCGCCCGCATCGATCTAAGATATACACGGTTGAACGTTGTTCATTCATAGATTTCATTCATGTCAATACTACTTCCTTTCTTGTCGGCTCCGTTTCCGAGTATCGAACGGTACTTCTGTTTATGAAGTCAGTCAATTATAATTGTCTTATAATTACGATACTTAATTAATAGTTAAAGAAAGTAAGTTATTTATAATGTATTATTTATATAACATTGAGTAATATGACAATGTAAATATTGATCGTAAATAAAAATCACACGTACCAAAAATTCATTATTGTAGATAAGTTTAATCTAAAAAAAAAAAAACCTTTAAAAAATATATACCCAATGCACAAAAAAATATTGAATATTATCTACATTTTTTCTAATAAAAAACGAATATGACATAAATACAGTTAGCTGAGTTTTACTTTATTACTAAAAAAAATTATTTTTTCTTTTGTTTAAGTACTGATTATAATGACATGGTTTCGAAAAAAACTAGAAAAATAAGATATATAATAGAGAAGAAAATCGTCACAGTAATTTTCAGTGCACTCTAGATGAACTGACTTCCCGTTGTTACATCTCCAATAAAGGAGGCAGTTACGAGTTTGGAAAGAGTTAACCGACTTTGTCCAACGGTGCCTCTCGGGAAGTGCGAAAGAAGATACGACGTGCATAGACGACCTTACATACGTTCCACGTGCCGTCTCATCGCGATTAGAAATCTGAATTGCGAAATCGTCGATCTCGATCTATGACAGCTTAATTATACTGACACACAATTCAGTGGTGCCTTGTTTATACAAAAGTTAGCAAGGGTTTATATTATTTTAGAAGAATTATATATATATTATCAAACATTAGGATATAATTTCGGGCAGTATCCTATTAAAAAAACTAAGAAAATTTGAAATAATTGATAGCACGATAAGAAAGGAATAATTAAGAAATTAATATAAAAAACATAATATACTTAATAAAAGAATCGGTAAAGAAGATATTGAAATTATCTCTCTTTTCAATTCAAGGAGAGCAAGAAAGTTAAAACGTCATATTGATTGATTATTCATCGAATTTATGTCAACTTTTTGTCATGATCGTTCAATATAACATTATTTTCATTTTCTTGTTTTCCTTGGATTGTGTAATAATATTTCTATTTGATTTCTAATTTTCACCTATATTGTCATTTTGAGCGTCATCCTCCTTGATGATTTCTTCCGCATTATTCTCCTGCAGATCATCAACGACTTCAGCGATGACATTGCCAGCCTGTTCGATCACCGCGCTCATCGGTGGCTCGCTTTTTTTCCCGGTAACTTCTAACTCGATCTGGTCCAGGTCGCGGGCTAATCTCGTCCTAAGGCAACTTCTGGCGTTGTTGGTGAATATACACTCGAGGATACCTTCCTCCTTTGGCTTGCTCCTCTCCATTGCCATGCAATGAGCGTGCAAAGCGAGTCCGAGGACCAAGAAAAGAACCAGCGCGATTATCCTCATTGTTGCCTGCCTTTTCCGTCGAATTTGACGATTCTCACTGATCGAAGCGCACCGTTATCACCACGAAAATTGCGTGATAACTTCCCTGGCGTTCCACGTCCGTCACCCTCTCGTTTTTTTTCTTTGATCTTGACCGTCAACCGTAGCCTTGGACCGCGTGTCACAGGCTCGAAGTGGTTGTGGAGCGTGCGTGGTCGAACATATATGAGACTGGTGTCCCTTCCATTTCAACTTCCGCCAATAGTGGGTTTGGTTTCATGTAAGTCTAGCGGGTACCCCTCCACCGTGGTGGGCTTTTTCGCCACGACGAAACTTACGGTGTCGTCCCATAAGAATTATGGGTCCGTAAATTATCGAATGGAAATGAACTTGATAGAATGGATATCTTGTCTCTATATGATGACCTATGTCACCAATACATGAAAAATTATTCATGAAGTATCAAGGAAATCATGACAAATTTTATTTTCACTATCTTATTCATGACACTCCCATTTCTCTTCTATTTTTAGGCTTCTTTCTCGTATTTTTAAATTTTTGTAATTTTTTGAGACCAAAAATGATTATGTACAATACAGATACATTATTTTTATAAAAAATGTCTTCAAAATAGAGAGTATTTTCTTATAATTTTTTATGTCCGTTTCTGTCAATGTAC